GGGGCGGCGTGCTTGGGGAGGAGGCGGAGCAGAGGTGAGCTGGGGTGGGGAGCTGCCGCACAGCGTCCCCGGGGGGGCAGAGCTGCCGCGAGGGGGGGGCGCCTCAGGGCGGAGGGGGGGAGCGGGGAGCTGCTGCGGGGCTGGAGGGGGGGCGCAAGGTGGCCCTGGCAATGCAGTGGGCTAGTGCTGGCCAGCTCCAGCTGTCTCACTCCTAGCTCTCTCACCTTGCGGGCCCGGGTCGGAGTCTCCTGCATGTTTAAATGCAGCTTGGAGTCACCCTGATGTTCTGCAATAGTCACTGGCACCTCAGAAAGTGTTTGTCACTGTGGGAAAGTGACACCCCCTCAAAAGCTATTACATTCATGGCATCCAAGCAGCCATACCCAGAACTGCTCTGAGGATTTACCAGCTTGCTACATCCTGGTCGTCTCCATTAAGAGAGGCCAATCGGTGGTTCTGTTTTTCATGTCCATGGCAGACAAGAGCAGGCAGCCCAGCGTGGGGCTGGTCACTGTCATGGATCTGTGTCTGGAGGAGACAAGGCAAAGGTCTTCTCTGAAGAGGCTGGTCCCATCCCGTGCACTGAAGGTCTAGGGGTGATTGGGAGCTTTGAGTGGCAGCCTGCTCCCCCTGATTGTGAAAGCAAGTGGGCAAGAGTTGTGCCCTCTGCAGGCTGGATTGGTAATGCCTTCCTGTGTGGGGGAGGGAGGGAGGAAGGTGCCAGCCTGTGTGGATGGAAAGGGGAAACACATGGGCACATTCTATATGGCAGAGGTGGCGGTGTGAAGGCCCACCAGGCTGGCTAGCTCAGATTGCTCTGCCCATAATACCCCAGTGACCCACATGATGAAGCACCATTTATATGCATAAGTGAGACCTTCGCATGTGGCCCAAGTTCTCTGAGACTGGTACAAACAGCAGAACACACCAGAGAAGGGCCATGGAGCATCTTACACCAGCAGCACAAGGGGCAGCGGAGGGCATCCGAAGGGAGGGGAAACAGATACACAGATTCTTAACAGTAACTAGAACTGGTGGGAAAAAAATCACCAACTTATTGGAAAACGCTGTTTCATTTCAACTAAAATGTCGTGAAATTGTTGCATTTTGGCTACATTTTGTTTAGAAAAAATGGCGGGGGGGGGGAGTTCCTGCTTCAGCACTTTTGGGAATGAAAAGTTTCAACTTTTCATGTTAAATATGACTTTTTGTTTCAAAATGAGTGTATTAAAAACTTTAAAAGGGGTCAAAATCGAAACAAAACCAATGTATCCAAGTGCACCGTTGTGACTGAACCAAAATTAATTTTGTTTTGAATTTCATTTTGTGAACAATTTTGATGATTTTGTTCCAGTGTGGGATTAATTTCCCCCCCAAAATCTCAACATTTTTCAGTGGCTGGAAAATCCATCTTCCGACCAGCTCCCTGGGTCTTGCTGAAACCACACCTCTGTCTGGTCTGGTGGGTGAACACCGGCTGACTTCAGTCACCAGGCTGGACTTGAGGATTGCTGCACAGTTTGCGCCTGATGGGGAATTGGAGGGTGACGTGCGGGGCCCTTTGCAGACACACCTCACTGCAGACCATAGGGCCACAGTCTTTTTAAAGAGAGTACTGGGACCCATTTCTTCATATTCCCTAAAGGCAGGGGGCATCAAGGAGGATTTTACCTCTTGAGGCTTTCAAGCCTGGGGGGGGAACTCCGCAGGCTCAAATGTTTCAGTCACAGTCAGATTTCATGCCGTGCTATGCCTGAGTGCAGGACTCTGCACTTGTCCTTGTTGAACCTCATCAGATTTCTTTTGTCCCAATCCTCTAATTTGTCTAGGTCCCCTGTATCCTATCCCTACCCTCCAGCGTATCTATCACTTCTCCCAGTTTAGTGTCATCTGCAAACTTGCTGAGGGTGCAGTCCACGCCATCCTCCAGATCATTAATGAAGATATTGAACAAAACCGGCCCCAGGACCGACCCTTTGGGCACTCTGCTTGATACCAGCTGCCAACTAGACATGGAGCCATTGATCCCTACCCATTGAGTCCGACGATCGAGCCAGTTTTCTATCCACCTTATAGTCCATTCATCCAGCCCATTCTTCTTTAACTTGTCGGCAAGAATACTGTGGGAGACGGTATCAAAAACTTTGCTAAAGTCAAGGAATAATATATCCACTGCTTTCCCCTCATCCATGGAGCCAGTTATCTCCTCATAGAAGGCAATTAGATTAGTCAGGTATGACTTGCCCTTGGTGAATCCATGCTGACTGTTCCTGATCACTTTCCTCTCCTCTAAGTGCTTCAGAATTGATTCCTTGAGGACCTGCTCCATGATTTTTCCAAGGACTGAGGTGAGGCTGACTGGCCTGTAGTCCCCTGGATCCTCCTTCTTCCCTTTTTAAAAGATGGACACTACATTAGCCTTTTTCCAGTCATCCGGGACCTCCCCCAATCACCATGAATTTTCAAAGATAAAGGCCAATGGCTCTTCAATCACATCCGCCAGCTCCTTTAGTACCCTCTGATGCAGCGCATCCGGCCCCATGGACTTGTGCTCATCCAGCTTTTCTAAATAGTCCTGAACCACTTCTTTCTCCACAGAGGGCTGGTCACCTCCTCCCCATGCTGTGCTGCCCAGTGCAGCAGTCTGGGAGCTGACCTTGTTCGTGAAGACAGAGGCAAAAAAAGCATTGAGTACATTAGCTTTTTCCACATCCTCTGCCACTAGGTTGCCTCCCTCATTCAGTAAGGGGCCTACACTTTCCTTGACTTTCTTCTTGTTGCTAATGTACCTGAAGAAACCCTTCCTGTTACTCTTAACATCTCTTGCTTGCTGCAACTCCAAGTGTGATTTGGCCTTCCTGATTTCACTCCTGCATGCTTGAGCAATATTTTTATACTCCTCCCTGGTCATTTGTCCAATCTTCCACTTCTTGTAAGCTTCTTTTTTGTGTTTAAGATCAGCAAGGATTTCACTGTTAAGCCAAGCTGGTCGCCTGCCATATTTACTATTCTTTCTACACATCGGGATGGTTTGTTCCTGCAACCGCAATAAGGATTCTTTAAAATACAGCCAGCTCTCCTGGAGTCCTTTCCCCCTCATGTTATTCTCCCAGGGGATCCTGCCCATCAGTTCCCTGAGGGAGTCAAAGTCTGCTTTTCTGAAGTTCAGGATCCGTATTTTGCTGCTCTCCTTTCTTCCTTGTGTCAGGATCCTGAACTCGACCATCTCGTGGTCACTGCCTTCCAGGTTCCCATCCACTTTTGCTTCCCCTACTAATTCATCCCTGTTTGTGAGCAGCAGGTCAAGAAGAGCTCTGCCCCTAGTTGGTTCCTCCAGCACTTGCAGCAGGAAATTGTCCCCTATCCTTTCCTGGATTGTCTGTATGCCGCTGTATTGCTCTCCAAGCAGATATCAGGGTGATTGAAGTCTCCCATGAGAACCAGGGCTTGTGATCTAGTAACTTCTGTTAGTTGTCCCCTCAGACTGTTTTTTTCTGACAAAACTAAGTTTCTTCTGAAAATTTCTAACTGCGCCTATTATCGAAGTGCTAGAGGCTTTTTTGGAACTAAAGTTCCTGGTTTCCATCTCTGCTGATCATTGAAATGTCTGTGGCCATAGCCAGGGCCGACAAGGGGGGGCGAAGCCGGTACAAATTACCAAGGCCCAGCAGTCCGGAAGGGGGCCCGGGGCCTGGCTTCCCCCACCATTGTTGGCCCTGTTTAGCCGGTCCGCCCTTGCTGGGGGGCCCGAAAAAAATTTTCACCAGGGCCCGAACCCGCTCTTGGCGGCCCTGGCCATAGCTTGTTACAGTGTTTCCTCCCATCTGCCTTCCTGCCTGCACTTCTCAGTTTCTCTTCCTTGGCTGTTGTTTTGGTTTCTTAGACAGTGTATTATGTAACTCTGCTAAGAGTTCGGGGTC